CTCTCTTTCTCTCTCTCTCACTCTCTCTCTTTCTCTCTCTCCAAAAGCTTTCCGATATAATATATGACACATTTCCAGTATCTTGAATCTCCAATCCTACGACTACACTAATGTGTACAATCTCGTCAAACACAGAAAATGTTAGGGCCGTTCGACCAGTATCTTCAGTATAATCTATAGATACAAAGCCGACTTAGGGGTTTGTCATTTCCTCAGGGGCACAGCTGAAACTGCAAATAGTTAATAATATAATTGCTAAATAATTCGACAGGAGTTGTTGGCTGTCAGTCGGGCTTATACCTTGTGTAGCCTTCAGAATAAATGTGCGGCTAAATCGGGGCTGAGACCGGGGATTACTTCTCAATTGCCTCTAGCAGTTGTAATTCCCTGAACCCCAAACCCTAAACCATAAACCATTCATCAGTTAACTTCAGTTTATTGATTATTCAAAACTGGAAACCGACTGAATGATACTTCTAACCCCGCTAAAGCCTTATTTGTTTGGGTCTAGGGCTGTGTGACTTTGCTTCGCTTCGTGTGCCCGAAGCCTCGCACCCTGAACTAGTTAACTAATTAATTCCTACCCACTAGACTAGGTGACTGTAGCCTTAGCAAAACCAACCGCTCATTGTGCAGCCAAGTTTGTGATCGGGCTCCCTCGGCTATCTCCTTGGGCACGGCAAAGTCCCTGACGGATTGCAGTGCGGCTATGCGATTGATGTTCAAGCGAAAGCTGAGGCAGAGTTACTTGTACTTGAGTAGTGAGTCTGCAGTGCTCTTTAGCTCGACGCTTCAGCAAAAAACTGGGACCTATTGTCGATTGTCGTGCAGGAAGTCGAAAGAGAGAAAGGCTGCATTTACCGACGAGCTTGAGAAGCTCCTGGGTCGCCTTCGTGAGGCAGGTTGTCTGCAGAACAATTTAATTATCCCTGCCGTAACCAGCAGCCTGGATGCCCCGACTATAAAGCACAGGCCTTCATGTTTCTACATAAATAATCCATCATTGCTCTGCAGGAAGCCAGCGAGGATCTGAAGAAGTGCCTGGGGAAGCCCCACCAGACTGTGGACACAAAGTCCAAGAAGAAGCGAGCCAGGGACAAGAAGAAGGAAAAGGAGACTCCGCCACCACCCCGAAAGAAAGCAAAGAGGGAGAAAAAGCTCTTTGCCAAAGAGGAGCCCAAGGAGGAGCCTAAGGAGGAGTCTGATGACGAGGGTGAAAAGGACTGCGAAGGGGAGGAGCCGGCGGTACCGACTCCTCCGTCGGATGCCGAGAGCGCCTCGGAGGCCGAGCCGGAAGCCGAGGCCGAGGCCGAGGACTCCAACGTCGACTCCGGGGACTTTGACGAGTGTGACGACGACGACGACGACGACGACGATGATGATGAGGATGTCTTCGCTGGCGATTTCAAAGTCATCAAGAAGGCCCCGTCCCGCGAGCAGTTGCTGGAGACGCTGCCTCCATCCTTGGCCAGCCAGCAGTCCAAGCTCGAAGACGGCCTGATAGCAGCGATCCCGCAGGATCTGACTAAGTGCCCTGTCATTAGTCAGTTCAATCTAGAATGACGATGCCTAAGGCCTAAGGCTCAAGGTTCAGAGCGGTTTTGTTTCTTGAACCCTAAACCCTAAACCCTAAACCCTAAACCCTAAACCCTAAACCTTAAACCCTAGACCCTAAACCCTAATTAATGGAACAGGGTTCCTTTTGAGAGCTTCTTCAAGGGTCGTGAAAGATTCTTTATACGCTGCGGTTTTGGGGTTTTGGGTTCCCCAAACCCTAAACCCTAGGGTTTGTTGGGGGGGGGGGGGAGGTAGACTCTGCTATGAAGCTAAGGGGCAGTTTAGGTCCGGGCTTAGGGCTTATAAGGTTTTTTTTTGCCTCTAATTAATTAAGGGTTCTACAAGCCGTGGTTTTGGTGTAGTCGGTTTTGGGGTTTTCGGGTTTAGGGTCCGGTACTGTATAAACCAAACAGTCCTAAGAACCTATATGTTATATGATTCTAGCAGAACTTGAGCTTTGTAAAGTAGGAAATACAATAAGCATCCCCCAGAACCCCTTTGGATAGAATTGTGTTCCTGCAAAAGGCTCTATAGCTACAAGAAGGGTACTGTCAAGGTTTGATAACAACTATAGTCTAGGGTTCCTCGTAATTAAGTATCGGTACACAGTCGTGCCAGAAAGCAAAAGAATAGTCCGTAGGGTTTATGGCTGTGGGGGTTTAGGCAATACGGTCTTTGTAATAGTTTAGTTTAGACTAGACGCCTTCTGTAATTATAGACAGGGTTCCTTCTTCACACCCACCGGGTTTCTACAATTAACCTGTGAAGCCCTTCTCCAAAAAAGGGACCCTCAATGAACCCTAATCCCTAAATCAAGCCAAAATACTCTATTGTATTCCTTCGTTAGTTATGAATAATAAATGTCATAATTTCAATGGTATTTGATGAAGCCCCAAACCCTAAACTCTCGTTCGGTGCAGCAGCAACATCACACAACGGTTCTTCTCACTATTGACTAACTAAGGAAGCCTAAACCCTAAACCTTCGACTATACTCTAAGTAAGCCCCAAGCCCTAGAGCCCAAATGCGCCCAGGTCTGACTTCGACAGCTGGATCGCTGTGCTGCTCAAGGAGCAGATGTTTTCTTTGGATGAAGTGAAGGAGTGCCGAGGCCTGGACGGTGCCTCCGACGCACAATTTTCTGGTATCCTGTTTATCTATCCAGCCGTCTGTTTGGGTCCTGAGTATAACAACAGCCGAGGGCCGCTATCCTCGCATCTCTCCGTATCCAAGAAGTATTTCAAGAAGCTGTCCATAAAGGGGAAGAAGTTGTTTGATACATGGGTGGATTCCTTGAGGTTCCCGGACAAGGCTGGATTCCTTTATGATTTGCGGTTTCTTCCGAACGAACCCCAACTTATCCCTTCCGGCCAGGATGCCCCGCTCTCCACGCCTTCGGGCCGCCGGCCGTCAGCTGCAAAGGTGACTTCCTCGTAGGTTCCTGAGTCAATCTTGATGTAGGATTCAGGAGCGAAAGGCCAAGCGGCCGGATTTTGACGCTAGCCTGGGGCGGCCTGGGTTCTGATCTGGAGTGTGATGTACTCTAGATAATGTAAACACAGAAATAGTCGTAGAGTACTTTGTCATTTGTAGTGTTTTTTTCGGGGGCCCCGCTTGGACTTCAGCAGGTCTCGAAGATTAGAATACAATCCTTTTGGTGAGGCACTTTAGCAGATAGTAACCTTCGGATGCCGAAGCCCCCCACTGGGCTATGTTGCAGTGTTCCTCGAGGGGATCGGGGAAAGGATGCCGACATGCAGAGTCCTGTGAGAAAGATCAGACGGGCTAAGGTGTGAGCTAAGGGTGAGAAGTTCAAGACTTGAGATTTTGGGAGCCTGGGGTCGAGGCCTTAATAATTAGACGCTATGACTTACTGGGGTCTGAGGTTTTGGACATTTCGTTGGGTTCGCTATGCTGGGGTCAGAGCTGTCTTGTGAAATAGTAATGGGAATTTCCACAATGCTTCGAAGAGGCTTGCAATTCCTGTTGTAGCTTTGTGTTCGGGAGGTTAGGATCGGATTTCGGGTGTACTTGAACGTGGCCTGGGGTAGCTCGAAGATACAAAATAACAATAGCTAGAATAGTTCTAACAAACCTAAAAGCTTCTAGGTTTATTTGTCTGATTCAAGTTATCATTCTACCACTTTCAAATGATACCATTGAACTGATCAATAATGATACGATCACTAGCAATACAAATACTAGTTGTAGTAGTACTAGTAGTAGTAGCAGCAGCAGCAGCAGCGGCAGGAGTGTTAGTAGTAGTAGTAGTAGTAGTAGTAGCAGCAGCAGCAGCAGTAGCAGCAATTATGATGAACGCTGAGATTGATAGATCAAGCAGGCGAAGGGTTTAGGGTTAGTTAGGGTTTTAGGGTTTAGGGTTTAGGATCTGGGGTTTAGTTTTCAGGATTTAGAGGTTTAGGATTTGGGTTTAGTGTAGTCCGTAAAGACGACATGGGCCCTAGAAGGGTTTAGGGTACAGGGATTCGTAGTACTACTAATAATAATAATAATAATTTTATGATAAGGGTATAGGGACCTGTATTTTTTAGGGTCATTTGGTCGTGTATTAACACTTAAAGGAACCCTACTTTAGTTTAGACCCCTTAGTTAAAGGAGCCCTTGTGCTAGGGAGGGGCGGGGTTTAGGGTCTCGGGGTTTCGGGTTAAAGCGCCGGCTGCAAACCCTAGGCCCTAGGCTCTAAGCCATTCAGCTTTGGGTACCAAAAAATCCCTTCAGGATTTTACTTCGGTCTTTCAGGGCTTCTTAATATACGTAAGGTGTCTGATGTTTCGGGCAGCACCAGCCCCAGACTCCCCAGATCGCGGCCACGCACAAATCCGATCCTGAGGCTGCAGGGTGTCCGGTCAAGAAGGCAAACTAAATATTGGGTCCTCCGAATATTAATTAAGTATATGATATAATCCGTATCCGGTTTAGAGTATTCCTTGGCTTTGGTCAGGGCAGCTCACTACAGCTGAACAATGTAATGAGTTGCTATTTGTCAGGGCAGCTCACTACAGCTGAACAATGTAATGA